CTTCTTTTTATTATTTCTGACCAATGAGATTTTTTTATTATTATTTTATATAAAAAAATTGAAAAATATATTGAGATTATAAAATTATACAATATTTTAATAATATAATTAATGTTATAATTTTCAAATAAAGAATCACTTAGGGTAAACGTTTACCAAGTCATATTACCTAACCGGATGAATATGATAAAAACCAAAAATCTTATCCGGTAAGAGCAAGAAAATGACAAAGAGTCTTACCCGGTAAATAAAGGCGACGACTTTTACCATAGTAAGCGCTTACCAGGTAAATTGTTACATACGATAACGTTTTGGTGGACTAAAATCTTACCCGGTAAGTAAATGATAGTGTTAAATTTTACCTGTAGTCACTTACCGAGTAAATGTTTGGTAAACAACCCCTTATTCTATCTCACCCTGCTAAAATCCCGTGTGGATCATATTCTTCCTTTTAACCGTTATGTTATGCCATTCCTACACGGGTAAATGGAACTTACACCACTAATTGATTCATATATTAATCGTTGATTTAATATTAGGTGTTAAGAATGGGCATAATTACCAAATGACCTTTGGCCTAGCGGATGTGAGTTTTTGTCCTCCTAGGAAATCAGAGGTTCAAACCTCACCAAATGTGAAGAGAGTATGTGAGTTTATTTGTTCTATTTGTTATATATAAATATTATATACTTCAAAAAAAAAAAATAAGCATAATTCTATAAATTTCATTTATACCCTTTATGTATAAACCAAAATTCGAAAAATGCTTGAGTAAAACGTCTGATGAAAATACTTATCTAACACTATATGCGATGTTAGTTCTCTTTGTGCTTTCTTAATTACGCCCTTTCATCAATGTTGTAGACTTTAACCAGGATTACAATTTACAATGTTGACGTCAATGGAATTCGGGTTGTTTTGGGCTATGTTTGGTAAACTATCTAATAAGCTAGCTGGTAACTTATAAATTAACTGGTAACTGATAAACTAGTTAATGAACAAATCATGTTTGACAAAACTATCTGATAAGAATGTAAATGACCAAAAAGGGTATATTGAAAAAATTAATATAATTATAATATTTTAAAATATAATTAATTTTCAATTTATATATATTAGTATTAGTAATATTTAAATTTTATTAATATTTATTTATAATTAATTTTAACAAATAGTAATTAATATTAAGAAGAGTTATAATTAGAAAAAATGACAGTAAGCTACCAAAACGCTACTCCAAGTAACGTTAAGTTAGCTTATATGCTAACTTATAAGCTAGTTTATGTGCATCCAAACGTATATTCAAAAAAATAAGCTAGCTTATTTTTTTTATTAAACAATGCTTTGATCTCCACATGCCACCGAAGGGTGTGAAGCCCACATGAATTTGTCACATCATTCTGGATGTGTGTTTAGAAATTCAAATTAATAGATAAATATGTAATCTTTGATAAACACTTAACTGATTTATGATTAAATTCATGAATTGATTTGTTTAGTTGTAACCCTTAAATATCAAATTATTGATTTACCTCTAAAAGTAATCAATTAACAAAAAAAAGTTAATTAGATTAAGAGGCCGTTTACCAAATGCTTATCCGAGTAAGCGTTTACCAAGTCACATTACCTTATCGAATGAATATAATGAGGACCAAGAATCTTACCCGGTAAGAGCGAAACAAGGACCAAGAGTTTTACCCGGTAAGTAAGGGCGACGACTCTTACCATGGTAAGCGCTTACCAGGTAAATTGTTGCATACGGTATCGTTTTGGTGGACTAAAATCTTACCCAATAGATAATTGAGAGTGTTAAATTTTACTAGTAAGCGCTTACTGAGTAAGTGTTGGTAAATGACCCCTAAGAATCTCACGTTGATTAACCCTTAGATATCAAATTACTAATTTAGCCCTACAAATGATAAACTAACCAACTAAATTAATTTGATTTAAGAATCCCACATTAATTAACCCTGGGCTAAAATAATAATAATGCCCAGAAAATTGTCTATTATTGGGCTAAGAATAGATTGAAGCCCAATAAGGGTCTGAAATTAATCTCAGCCGTCCGTTAGATCCCAACCGTTGAATCAATTTAGGTATTTGCTTTCACTTACCTATAAAACCCAACAGAAATAGAAACGATAAACCCTAACGGAGAACTAGGGTTTTCGGGACTTGGCCGTACAAACATCGCCGTTTTCCTTCATGGGCAATAATGGCTTCTCAGACGAGCAAAAAGCGAAAGGTATTAAAATCTGTTCTTTCAGCTCGTTTTGTGCGTTGCGAGTTTGGTTATGAATCTCTTGAAATTGTTGTGATCAGTTCGTTGCAGATGGATTTCTTCTGTTGGTGATGAATGAGTCGATATCTGAGTAATTTAGTTGCCGACGGTGACGATGATCATAGTTACTCGATTCGAGGATGTACTCGGTATATTACGCTAGTCTCTCTGTTTCCTTCCTTGTTTTTTTGAAAATGTCGTTTTTGCATAGTTTGTCTCCAGATAATTGAACTCAAAGATGCCGATATAGTCCATTTGTTGGATGTCGGTAAAGTTATTCGATACGAAGACATCATCTAATAAAACTTGACAAACTACATTGTAGAACTTCGTTAATTGTATGCGACTAAGTATTTAACATCTGTGCGTAAACCAAAATGTTGCAACTCAGACTGAGCTAACTCAAAAGTCACCAACACAGCAAATTGGTTTTTCAGTACCAAATTTGTGTCTGAAGGTGACGACATTGATTATATCTTGGCATGCCATTTTTCCTCGCTTAAGAAATAGGCTTTTTGCCCTTTACCTTAGCGGGTAGGTATGACTTGGATATACATATCGCCTCAGGCTAGACTAAATAATTGGTTATATACTGCGCTAAATAGTTTTTGTAACTTTTGTCTGATTAAATTTCTTGCCATTTTTTACGTCATCGTGCCAAGGAAAAAGATGTATTTGATCTTGATCTTGGAAAAGATATGGACTATCTTTGTTAATATGACAATATAATATATTTTTGTGTCATACATTACTCATATATATGATATGATACGTCATCTATAAAGCAAATAGGCTTATACTAGTGCCAACTTTGTGTCGGAAGATGACTAAATTAACAAAGGCCGCCGGCATTCRCTTTACTAATGGATAAATTAATTTCATTTGTATGCTTGCACCTTTGACATATTATGCTTGCACAATTGCAAGCAAAACTGTAATTGTTACATTTC